GAATCTGCGTCTCATTCAGCTCGTCTGCTGTTTCTGTTTCATGCAGATATTTTTTATGCATAGTTTCACAAAACTGAAGTCAACCCATTCTGTTTTTGCTTCAAATTTCGAAATTGTACAATGTAATTTAGATCTTGAGATTAATGTGAGATTAAACTGCTTATGTTGCATGTATGCAGCATCTTTGTTTGGATCAGGATTAAAATGCAGTGGTTGCCTTTAATTTTAAACGGAAAGAGCACAGACAAAGCCTTAGTTTGTTTATATGAATAGTTTTCTTTTATTTGTGTTATTTATTTGATTTGGGGCTTGTTTTAAAATTTCAATTTAGGTTTGTTATTTACATTTACATTATATTAAAATGTTGTTATTTAGCAGATGCTTTTATCCAAAGCGACTAACAAATTAGGACAATAGAAGCAATCAAAACCAACCAAAGAGCAGTAATTTACAAATGCTATATTAGTATATTATTATAGTGTTATATTTCAATTTCACAAAGAAACATACAGTATTCTGTCCAAGCAATAATAAAAGGACACATTTAATTTATTTTGTCTTAAATCTCATTTTGTTAAAAAAAAAATCGTGAATCGAATCGTGAAATCAAAATCGTGAATCGAATCGAATCGTGAGTTGACTGAATCGTTACATCCCTAGTTAATGCTTCTTGTTCTTGCGTTCTTCTACCGATGTGAACGGCACAGCGTACTGAATGACAGACGAAACATACAGCGATGACTGTTATGTGCTGAATCTTTTTAGTGAATCAAGCATACATGCTCAATTTGGAACCGAATACTAGCATACTACTCGTATTTCTGCCATGGAAATATATGGTACAAGTATAGTACGCTAGTATGCAGAAACAGAACACTAGTATTGTCTAACTCCCAAATGAATGCCTCTTGTGAGACGGATCTTTTTAGTGAATCAAAAACATACAGAGCGACTAGTATCCAATTCCCAAGTAAATGATCCTTATGAATTGGTTCTCTTTAGTAAATTATACAGCTCAAACAATGTAGTCCAACCGATTCCCTAAAGAATGACTCTTTTAGTGAACCAAACACAATCTACAAACTATAGTTTAGGATTGTGATTATCGGATTACTTTTATGCTCCCCCTAAAACAGTCATTTTAGAAGTCTGTGTATGCTCACCCCTTTTAAGAATTGTTTTAAATGTGTTTATTATAAAAGTGATCTCATCATCTGGCAATGGAATAGCTTTTTGCTTTTAGTATCATCTGATACATTCTCATCTAATTTCTGGCTCAATGCATTGTTTCTTTTTGATGACAGCAACAACACAAGATTTGAAATTATAGTGACTGAGGTCATTTGGTTTCTAATACCTGCAATTTTACTATCCGCACGGACTTGGATCAGGTTGTTTTATTCTGTGTAAGTGGAGCGCTGCTGCTGCATTGTTTGTCTTCAGTAGTAAGACATGTGGGCGAACTGCAGCCCGAAGAGCTCAGAGTTAAAATGCTGAAGTCTCCACATAAGACTCTGACAGCTGCTGGAGATGAACAGGGCTTTCCTTAACACTAAAAATATCTCGAGCCACCTCTCTTTATTTGTGTCTCCACCTCACTGACCTGGCAAGTGCCAGCAGGGAGAACATGAATTGTTTAAATTAAAAAAGCATTCGTATTTATGAGTGTTGTAGATACTCTAAGAAGAATAGATTTAACTGTAGATAAACTGTATATCAAAATGTATCTTAATTATAGACAGACAGACAGACAGACAGACAGACAGACAGACAGACAGAGATAGATAGATAGATAGATAGATAGATAGATAGATAGACAGACAGACAGACAGACAGACAGACAGACAGACAGACAGACAGATAGATTAGGTTCTGAACAATACAGGTTCTGAACAAGTCTATGTAGTGAGTTTGAAATCATTCTGTAAATGAGTGGCAAGGATGATGCAAAAAACTGCAATTGTGATTTTGTGAGCATCAGTTTCCGTAGCTACAACAATAATTCTTCCCAAGAGATGTTGTGTGCTTCCTCTTCCCTGTGACATCACTTCCTCTGAACATCCCTTGAGGCTCATTCAAGCAATACAGTGGCTAATAGCTTGATTGTTTATGTAATATTATATGTATATATATATATATATATATATATATGTGTGTGTGTGTGTGTGTGTGTGTGTGTGTGTGTGTGTGTGTGTGTGTGTGGTGTGCGGTGGTGTTCTGAATTTTTTTTTATCAAATGTAAATTCCTGTCCCAGTCACATGTTCTTGGTTAAATAAACATTACTTACACTACCAGAAAAAACGATTCTATTTTATATTTTTACATTAACAATGTAATCAATATTCTATTAAAGCCAAGTATGAATCTCATCAAGTTAGTGTTTTTTTTTTTTTTTAAGTGACGTGACATGTGGCCAAGTATGGTGACCCATACTCAGAATTAGTGCTCTGCATTTATCCCATCCTAGGTGCACACACACAGCAGTGAACACACACACACAGTGAACAGCCATTTTTGCTGCGGCACCCGGGGAGCAGTTGGGGGTTCAGTGCCTTGCTCAAGGGCACCTCAGTCGTGGTATTGAAGGTGGAAGAGAGCGCTGTACATTCACTCCCCCCACCTACAATCCCTACCGGTACGATACTCGAACCCACAACCTTTGGGTTACGAGTCCGACTCTCTAACCATTAGGCCAGCATTTTATATTTATTCCAAAATAATATCTGAAGGCAGTAACAATTTAAACAATATATTTTATTTGTGAACTTATGTTCAGCTATTCTTTTTAATAGTTCACTTTTAACTGTTTTTGAATTATTCGATTCATCAGTCACCAAAGCTCAGTAAATATTGGTCACAGACAGAGAATTACTTTAAATTTCACCAAGCTGATTACTCACTAAAAACTCCCACACATCATGTTTTCAGGCCATATTAAGTCTCATTTTGATGTAACAACGTGATTATTTATCTAAGTGTGTGAGTTGTTTACTTACTTTTTTAAATGAGTCTTCCCATTAATGCCATATTGTTCATTCAGACTGATTCACGAACGCAGAACGTGCACGAATCACAGCCTAACATAAGTCAGATCCAATCATATTGCGATGGAGGCATTGTCTCCTCTCACATGATTTCCCCCCATTCATCTCAATTACCCCCCACCAAACTCACCGCATACTTTAGGGGGTCTGTTAAAACTCAATGGGCTCAGGGGAGGCAAGAGAGATGCGGACTCCTGCTGTAACTTTACCTGCTGGTGTCGCTGTTGGACAATGTTTCTTTAGAAAAATTAGTGATTTATACACTTTTTAATTTAATATTTTGTAATATTGCCGTTGTTTTATTTTGAGGAGACACTGCCTCACTTGCCTACTCGGAAGAAACCATATTTTTTCCTGTCTTTTTTTTCCAGGTCATCTCTGACATGCCCACATTGTCTTAAGCAGAGCAACACGTTTGATCCTTTTCTGTGCATTTCCCTCCCCATACCTCTAAGACAGACAAGGTGAGTACAATTGTACCAAACTAAAGCCTTTTGAAGTCATTGATTCATGCAAAAGCGTAATTGTTTTCTTTGTTGTGGGTGTATTCTAACAGTTTTAGCCTCTCTGTACTAAAAAACAATGAAGCATTCAAACCAGCAGCAGCAGATGGATTGCCAGGAAAATCTTTTTTTTGGAGGAAAGGACCACCCTCATGTTCACAAATGCAAAACTACTGTCCCACATGCTATAATGTCAGATAAAATATTTCTGAATGTACATGTTTATATGAACATGTTATATGGTAATACCGGTTATACTGGTCAGGAGGGATGATACCGGTATGACATTTTATATTGGTTTAAAGGAAGTTTGAAACTTGACAAAAACAGTTCTTATGTCAATATCCTAATGAATACAATAGCCTTAAATAAAGGTCATCTTATATGGTAATATAGACCTACACATTTACCCAGTAGTTAACCAAGACTTATGCGCTACATTCCAAGTCTTCTAAAGCCATATAATAACTTTGTGTGAGGAACAGACTGAAACTAAAGTCTTCTTCACTGAACATTAGCTTAAGCTTGGACATTCTGCTATATACAGTACAGGTTTCATGATGATACAGTCTTCATTTTTGGTTGAACTATTCCTTTAGGGCAGAACACATGACCAGTTAAAAGGGAAGTAATCTGTTTGAGGCACTTTTTACATGACTGTTTGCCTTATTTCTTCCGGCAAATCCTTCAGCATTTACCACAACGCCACCCTTATTCACAGTAGTTTATGTCTGAGAAGGGCGTTTTCAGGCTTTAGGTCATATATCAGCAGGGTTGTAATAGTGGAGGGAAACTAGATGACAGTATAAATAATGGTAAAGTAGTAGATGATGTCACTTCGGAGAAGATGACATCACTTTAGGAAGAGCTATATAGAGTTCAAAAGTTTGGGGTCAGTAATATTTTTTTTTTACAAAATTAGTACTTTTATTCAGCAAAAAGGCTTTAATTAATCAAAAGTAACAGGGAAGATACTTATATTGTTACAAAAAATTTCTGTTTCAAATAAATGCTGTTCTTTTGAGTCACGAAAAAAGGATCATGGTTTCCACTAAAATATATTACAGCACAACTGTTTTCAACATTCATAATAAGAAATGTTTTTTGAGCAGCAAATCAGCATATTAGATCTTACAGACCCCAAACTTTTGAACGTTAGTGTATTTTGCACGGTCAAAATACACAGCTGCTTTTGAATAGATACCAACGGGGGTTAAATGCGTAACTTAGTGACCAGTCAGATTCATTCTTTAGCCACACCCACCTGCTGAAGCCACACCCACCCACTAGCTTTTCTAGCCCTACACAGAGATTGTTTGAGATTTCTAGATGCCCTTTATTGCTTTCAGTAATATTTTAAATTTAAACGCTCCTTTTAGATCATAAAGGATGCATTTTCTTCTCTCTCTGCAGACCAGTGTGTGTGACTTTGGTGTTTAGCAGTAAAGGACAGCGGTATCTGAGAGTGGGGCTCACTGTGCCTCTCTTTGGCTCTTTGGCATGTCTGCGCCGGATGGTGGCAGATGAGGGCAAGATCTCTCCTGATCAGGTGACAGGTGTACACAGCATCACACAGACAGACCTCATGCCTGCACACAATATATCACCTGACCAAACCACCTTCCCTCCTGCATTGCTACAGTGATTGTGTCAAATGGTAATACTGTCGGACTTATATGCCATGATACCGAAAGATTATATGCTATGGTATTTGCATGGTACTCAGAATAATACCATGGTACTTGTTTGTAATTTAGATGCAATTCTATGCTTTATCAGAAGATTATTTTATTGTTAGTTATTATTTAATGTCTAAAATGTAACAGAAATTATTGGTATTATTAATTGTAAATTGTTTGATACATCAAATGTGAGATGTGTTTTAAATATAAATATTTCTTTTTATCTTTATCTTTAATGATAATAATAACTGCAATAATTGCAATAATTTCCATATTTAATTATCTGTTATTTTAGGTAATATTGACAGAGATCTACACAACAGGTTTCCAGCGCTCGTTCTTTGATGGCGATGACTTGACCAGCATTGCAGAGAGTGACATCATCTATGCCTTCCAAGCTCCACCCCTTTACATCAGGGGTGGATCTGCACGAATCTCAGGTAAAGGTAGCCAACTGTAGAGGTTGTTTTTGAGGATTATAGGCACCTTTTAAGGTTTTTTTTTTTTTTTAATCACCAACATCTAAATATAACAGTTGTGTTTCTGACTGATATTGGGGTATAGATTTAGAATGGATTTAATTACAGTATAAGTTCCTCAGTGATTTTGTTTTTGGTCCATTATGCCCTGATGGTCAGCCTGAACATATGTAAGTCAAGTCAAGTCACTATTTCTATTTTCTATACTAAGTCTATATTTATATAGCGCTTTATACAATACAGATTGTGTCAAAGCAGCATTACAGCATTAAACAGGAAAGTAGTTTGTCGATAATGCAAGAGGACGAAGGAAATCACTCAATCTTCCAGTTAAAGTCAGTTCATCATTTATTCAGTGATGTCATCGTCCAGCTCAGTAACAGTTGTGTTTCTGACTGATATTGGGGTATAGATTTAGAATGGATTTAATTACAGTATAAGTTCCTCAGTGATTTTGTTTTTGGTCCATTATGCCCTGATGGTCAGCCTGAACATATGTAAGTCAAGTCAAGTCACTATTTCTATTTTCTATACTAAGTCTATATTTATATAGTGCTTTATACAATACAGATTGTGTCAAAGCAGCATTACAGCATTAAACAGGAAAGTAGTTTGTCGATAATGCAAGAGGACGAAGGAAATCACTCAATCTTCCAGTTAAAGTCAGTTCATCATTTATTCAGTGATGTCATCGTCCAGCTCAGTTCAGTTCAAATAGTATCTGTGGAATCAAGTCGACAATAATGCCAGAAATTAGGTGTCCCCAATTAAGCAAGCCAAAGGCGACAGTGGCAAGGAACCAAAACTCTATCGGTGTCAGAATGGAGAAAAAAAAAACCTTGGGAGAAACCAGACTCAGTCGGGGGCCAGTTCTCCTCTTGCCAAACGAAACCAGCATAGTGTGGTTTAATTCCAGGCTGCAACACAAGTCAGAAATGGGCAGAAAACTCATCTGGTTCCCGTGGTCTGTGCCGATGGCTGTCGAGGTGACGAGGTCTTCGCAGGGGATCTGTCTCTAGGGCTTATTCTTGTTAGCATGGTCTCTGCTGACATTCAGAGCTGTCAAGGTCATTTTTACGTAGGTGCTGATCCTCCATCTGGTCTGGATATGGACTGGATCCGGGTGACTGCAGTGGCCATCTGATCTGGAAACAGACTGGATCTGGGTGGCTACGGTGACCTCGGAATAAGAATGAAAGAGACTAATATTAGCATAGATGCCATTCTTCTTAGGATGTAACAAGTACATCGGGTGTTATGGGAAGTGTTCCCGGTTCTGGTTGACCTAATTAATGCAGCCTAAAAATCCTTTAACGAATTTGAATTATAGAAATGTGATAGTGTGTTATCTGTAAGCCAGGTTAAAGAGATGGGTCTTTAATGTAGATTTAAACAAGATTTGACAAGAGTGTGTCTGCCTCCCGAACAATGTTTGGTAGATTGTTCCAGATTTTGGGCGCTAAATAGGAAAAGGATCTGCCGCCCGCAGTTGAGTTTGATATTCTAGGTATAATCAAATGGCCATAGATTTGAGCTCGCTGTGGACGTGAAGGACTATAATGCTATAAGAGCTCGCTCAAGTACAGAGAAGCTAAACCATTCAGGGCTTTATAAGTAATTAGCAAGATTTTAAAATGTATACAATGTTTAATAGGGAGCCAGTGCAGTGTTGACAGAACTGGGCTAATATGGTCGTACTTCCTGGTTCTAGTAAAAACTCTAGCTGCTGCATTTTGGATCAGCTTATCAAGCGTGCAGAAAAACCACCCAATAAAGCATTACAATAATCTAACCTTGAGGTCATGAATGCATGAATTAATGTTTCTGCATTTGACATTGAGAGCATAGGTCGTAATTTAGTTATGTTTTAAGATGGAGAAATGCGATTTTACAAATGCTAGAGACATAGCTTTCAAAGCAAAGATTGCTATCAAATAGCACAGATGGTTCCTAGGTTCACACTAGGTTCCTAACTGACGATGAAGTATTCACAGAGCAGCCATCAAGTGTTAGACAGTGTTCTAGAATATTACATGCAGAGGTTTTTGGTCCGGGAGTTTGTTTATCAAGCGTGCAGAAAAACCACCCAATAAAGCGTTACAATAATCTAACCTTGAGGTCATGAATGCATGAATTAATGTTTCTGCATTTGACATTGAGAGCATAGGTCGTAATTTAGTTATGTTTTAAGATGGAGAAATGCGATTTTACAAATGCTAGAGACATAGCTTTCAAAGCAAAGATTGCTATCAAATAGCACAGATGGTTCCTAGGTTCACACTAGGTTCCTAACTGACGATGAAGTATTCACAGAGCAGCCATCAAGTGTTAGACAGTGTTCTAGAATATTACATGCAGAGGTTTTTGGTCCGATAATTAACACCTCTTTTTTTCAGAATTTAGCAGTAGGAAATTACTAGTCATCCAGTTTTTTATATCAACTATGCATTCTGTTGGTTTTTCAAATTGGTATGCTTTGTTGGGCCACAAAGAAATATAGAGCTGAGTATCATCAGCATAACAGTGAAAGCTAACTCCATGTTTTCTGATGATGACTCCTAAGGGTAACATGTAAAGCAACGGTCCTAGTACAGAGTCTTGTGGGACTCCATACTGCACTTGTGATCAATATGATACCTGATCATTCACTGCTACGAATTGATCACAGTCAGATAAGAAGGATTTGAAGTTCACACTAGGTTCCTAACTGATGATGAAGTATTCACAGAGCAGCCATCAAGTGTTAGACAGTGTTCTAGAATATTACATGCAGAGGTTTTTGGTCCGATAATTAACACCTCTTTTTTTCCGAATTTAGCAGTAGGAAATTACTAGTCATCCAGTTTTTTATATCAACTATGCATTCTGTTGGTTTTTCAAATTGGTATGCTTTGTTGGGCCACAAAGAAATATAGAGCTGAGTATCATCAGCATAACAGTGAAAGCTAACTCCATGTTTTCTGATGATGACTCCTAAGGGTAACATGTAAAGCAACGGTCCTAGTACAGAGTCTTGTGGGACTCCATACTGCACTTGTGATCAATATGATACCTGATCATTCACTGCTACGAATTGATCACAGTCAGATAAGAAGGATTTGAACCAAGCCAATGCAATTCCACTAATGCCAACATAATTCTCTAGCCATTTCACAGAATGTTGTGGTCAATAGTGTTGAACGCAGCTCTAAGATACGGTAGCACTAATAGAGCGATATAACCATGATTGTAAAATAAGAGCAGGCCATTTGTAACTCTGATGAGAGCAGTCTCAATACTATGATACGGTCTAAATTCTGACTGGAAATCCTCACAGATACCATTTTTCTCTAAGAAGGAACATAGTTCTGAGGATACTGCCTTTTCTTGTATCATTGACAGAAAAGGGAGATTTGAGATTGGTCTGTAATTAACGAATTCTCTAGGATCAAGTTGTGTTTTTTAAATAAGAGACTTAATAACAGCCAGTTTGAAAGTGTTTGGGATATATCTTAATGACAATGATGAATTAATAATATTTAGAAGATGATCAATGACTTCTGGAAGCACCTCTTTTAGTAGCTTAGATGGAATAGGGTCTAACATACATGTTGTTGGTTTAGATGATTTAACAAAATTAGATACAGTACAATTCTTCTTTTCCTATAGCAGAGAATGAGTGGAATTGTTCCACAGGGAGTCTATAGTGCACTCAAGGGGTGTGCCATATCATACCGTCCACGATAATACTGGTATAAATTTGTACATGATAAAAAAAAAGTGTCATTTCGCGATATCAATGATATAGCGATGCGATGACGGATATATGTTCCCTAGCGCGCACAACAACAACACCACCACAAACCCAATAGGTGTGTTTGACTTGAAGTAGCGCTGCGCAGACTGATCGGTGTATGACATCATAGTATTGCGAGAATGGTTCTAGAGCATATTTGAGCGCACACTCTTGCCTTCAAAAAAAGGCGAGGCGCATATCTTTAGCGCTGAGAGCCGCCTCTGGGATGCTTCTGAAACGTGCCACGGCTCCGCTGGTGTAAAAACAAGCATTAGGCTTGTTTGAGATGAGCAAAATCTGTGCAAAATCGATCACCGCGAGATGCATGCCGAGTTAAGTGTCCGAGTTACGTCCGACTTGCTCTGATGTCATGCTGACGTGTGCCAAAAAACTCTTGCGACGGCGAGGCAGCTGTGTAGGATTGTGCAGTTCTTCTTCTTCTTCTTCTTAGGCTTGTTTGAGATGCAGCTTGCCTTGCCTGAAATGAAGGCGAGAGTAGGCGGCTGCAGTGAGGGGAGGAGTGAAATAAGCGCAGTCAAGATGGACAGTTCTGACCTCTCGAGTGGAACAGATACCTACAAGATCAAAGGCAGATGTTCGCGTTATTCTCACTCACTTGCTGTGTTACTTATAAACATGATATAATTTCAGTTCTGAATAAGTGCAGTCAAGACGGACAGTTCTGACCTCTAGAAGTGAACAGATCACCAACAAAATCAAAGGCAGATATCGCGTTATTCTCACTTACATGCTGTGTTGCTAATAAACATGATATAATTTCAGTTCTGTTGCTTTTATATGAAAATAAATATGATGAACAAGACACTCAAAATGCTTGCTATTTAATTCCGTACAAAAGGTGTATTTATCATCCATTTTTACTTAGATTTTTATAGAAATATGACAACAATCACATTATCTCACACAAAGATCGCACTGTCATAGTGTTTGGGAACATTCATGCATAATTTAAATACATAATCATATGAAATCAGATAAAAATAAAACATTTTAGAAGAGAACCGCAGCATCACAGTTGTCTGAACCAATGAGCATTAAGCTGTGTCGTCAATCCGACACAGCCGCCTCGCCGTCGCGAGAGTTGTTTTGCACACGTCAGCATGACATCAGAGCAAGAATAGATGTGATGAAAACCAACTTTCAGTGAAACAATCACAATCCAATC